CACACACACACACACACACACACACACACACACACACACACACACACACACACACACACACACCAGTCAGGCTCTTCCTCCTTGAGATGCCTGCGGGCTGGGGAGCACCATCTGGCCCCCTCCATCTGCCAAGGACACCTTTGCTGGTTCAGAGTGTTCCTTCCCACCGGCCACTACACAGCGCACAGACACGGGGTAGAGATCTGAGAGGAAACTGCCTGCAGGAGCCGCTGGCTCTAAGCAGTCCCACTCCCACCTGCAGTCTCCGGGCTTGAGCCCCCCCCCCCCCAGCAAGAGTTTCAAGGATAAGAATGGGGGGGTGTCCCCAGACACATCCTCTGTCTTGTCTCCAGCCCCAGATTTAGCTGCCTTTTCACCTCCCACGCCTTCCCGCTGCCGTCTGGAATGCTGGGAGCCTGGGACAACTAGGAAGACTTCAGGGACACTGACTGGCAAGGAGGGCGCCCAGAGCACAGAGGGGAGGGAAACGCTGGCACCTCTCTGGGCCCGCCACTCTTCCCCTCTCGGCCTGCACTGCCCAAAACAGTGGCCACTAGGCATGGCTATTAAGTCATCGGATTTTGACGGCTTGCTAGGTATGAAAACATAAGTAATATCTCAGTCATCATTTCTATGTGATCTTGGTCCTCTTGGGTTAAATGTCAAATGAATCTCATCTGTTTCGCTTTAATTTTTTTTTTTCAAAAGGAAATTGACACTTGTGCTTATTGCGGCACTATTTACTATAGCCAAATTGTGGAAACAACCTAACTGCCCATAAAACAGGTGAATGGATCAAGAAGATATGGTATAGAAATACATACATGTATACATATACACATATTATACATGTATATATATGTGCATACACAGTACACTATTACTCAGTAATTGCAACAGATAAACTGATGCCATTTGCACTAATATGGATGGAACTGGTAAGTGAAGTAAGTCAATAAAAGAAAGATAAATATGGGACTGTACCACTAATGTGTATAATACATAGTAACTCAATTAAGGGTCAGGTAAAGACAAACTTAAAAACTAACCCTTGAAAGCTGTTATTCAGGGGGCTAAGGTTGGAGGAGGTACAGAGAAAGGTTGAGGAGAGGTAAAGATTGAGAGAAGGGAACACAAGGGACTATTTTAGTGTTTCACTTTACTTTTTTAATGTGGGCACTAGAAAGTTTAAAATAGCGTGCATGGCTTCACTTCGGCTTGCATTATTTTTGTTGGGCACTGCTGCTCTCAACCCATCCTCCAAGTCAGGCAGTTGGCTGTCCTGTCCTTAGTGAGGGGAGCTCCTTGGAACTGAACCTTTTTACACCTCAGTCTTTGGTAGTACAGACCCTGGCCCCTTTGCCCTTTGGGGACAGTGCAATGGAGGATCAGATGTATAAACTAGATTTGTATAGTGAGTTTGCATCTGTCCTTGTTAGTCATAAGCTGTGTGAGGGTGGGCAAGTCAGTGAATCTCTGTGCTTCAATTTCACACCAGAAGAATCGGAATAACACGTGCTCCTATACAAAAGGCTCTTGTGAAGATTAAATGTGTTCACATGCAGAAAGAATAAACAGGAGAAAGCGCCTGACATAGCGCAATTGCTTTATACTCTGTGGCTATGACAATCACCCCCTCATTCTCAGGCAACACCTTCCAAGACTCCCAGTACATGCCTGAAACCACAGACAGTACTGAGCCCTATATATTTTTTTCCTATTCCCACATCCCTATGATGAAGTTTAATTTACAAATTAAGGCACAGCAAGACACTGCCGAGTAATAATAAAGCAGAGCAGTTAGAACAATATATGGTTACACGAATGCAGTCTCTAGCTCTTAAAACATCTTATTGCATGGAGTATTTTTGGACTGCAGTTGACAGCACAAAACTGAAACCATGGAAATTGAAACCTCAGATAAACAAGGACTACTGTTATTATATTCAAATTTGGGGCTATTCCTTATTATAGTCACGTGTCACGATAGAATATTCCTTATTATAGTCACATGTAATGCCTCTTCGGGGGCATTCTTTTATTCACCCCCCCATCATCTTCTTGGCATGTGTTACCCTCCCTTCCGCTGAGAACAAACTGCTAATGACCACCCTGCCATCCATCTTGGTAGTTGCCCACTAAGACCCTCTCACATAACTCTCCACCCCCACCCCATCTTCCTCCAGACTTCCATCAGGACTAAGGAATGGCCAGTGGGTGAGAATTCCCATTACGAAGCCACCACCAAGGGACCACTGGTCCTCGGTCACCAGACCCCAGCATGCAGGAACCTCGCAACCTATCAGTATCCGGGCCCAGCCGCTCCTCGGCCTCCATGCTGGAAAAGTCCTCCGCAGCAGGTCAACCTTCTGGTTTAGGTGCATGGTCCTCGAGGAACATCCAATCCCAAACAAAGCCCAAAACTCCAAATTCTAAAACACGCTGGATGCGCAGGATCATCGCTGAAGATGAGGAATGGTCGCTGGCCATAGTGCCCCTCCTCACAGAGCTCTGCATTCAACACATCGTCAAGAACTTCCAGAGTAAGTCTGTCCCTGGGGAGGAGGGAGAATGGGGGAAGTGGGGAAGGGCAGGTGGGGACTCCCGGGGCTGCACCTGTCCTCTGACTGTGTTCTCATCCCCGTGAACACTTCCCTTCCCTCTCCTGGGGCCAAGGCAGTTTCTCCTACTGGATCCATTCCCAGGCCTGTGCTCTCTCACCGTTCCCACTCTCTTCAGCAAAACCCAACCCAAAGTTTGCCTGCCTCCTCCTCCAGAAAGCCCTCCATGGTTGAATGCCCTCCATTCTCCGTTCTCCTAGTCTTTCTGCTGTGGTAGATCCTTTTTTTTTTTTTTTTGAAAGATTTATTTATTTATATTTATGCATACAGGAACTGGGATACACGTCAGAGTTGCAGGGGGTGAGAAGATTCACCAGAGACATAGTGGGCAGCAGAACAGGCAGATGTACCAAAATACACTGCTGAGGGGAGCAGTGGGAGAGACAGGAGCGGTCTGCCACGCCATGTGGGTCAGCTCCCTGGCTGGGATCCAGCTCCATGCTGCCGTGGCTGCGGATAGCTTCACAGTGCTGCACTTTAACCCGCTGTGCCACAAGGGCGGGCCTTGTGGTAGATCCTTGAGTTGTCTGTACCCGTTTGCTCTGTAAACGTTCCTTCTTTACAGACCAGTTGACAGTCTCTTCGACCAGATGCGTAGCTCTCCCAGATTATTATTTTGCCTACAGCACCTAAATTACCACTCAGGTTGTAATGGATTTGTGTAACTTGCGTGTTATCTCTTTCCCCTCAGAGGGTGCAGCTTTCTCTATGTTGTTCACGCCAGCATACACAGCACTTAGTGAATGAAATCAAATTGATTCTGAAACCTCTGAAGTCAGGGGCTACTCCTCTGTCAGACTAAGGGATCACAGAGGGCTGGGTCTGAGAGTCTTGCTCAGACTGGGAGCTCCCTGAGACCAGACGCTGATGGCCCACCCTCAGGCAGGGACCAGGGTCGTGGCTGTCTTCCCCACTCAGAGTGGCCCTCTCTGAGAAAAAGATGTCTCCCCTCTCAGACTGGAGTACCCTGAGGGCAGAAGAGGGTTTTCCCTCTCCGTACTGCCCGCAAGCAGGCCTGGACCAGAGGATGGTGTCCTGGAGTCCCCAACACCCCAAAAGTGCTTTCTTCCCACTGTTCCCACAGACAATCCTATCCTGAAGCAGCTGCTCCCCAAGCACCAGCAGAAGGTCCTGAACCTCCTGTCACCCGACCTGCCGCTAACCGTGACTGCCAATCTGATCCAAGACGAGAATTACTGGCGCCGCTGCTGCTCCAAACGCTGGGAGGTGTGTCACGTGGCCATGTACGGCAACAGCTGGAAGCGCATGTTCTTCGAGCGGCACCTGGAGAACCTGCTGGAGCACTTCATCCCAAACATCACGGACCCCGCAGTGATCCTGGACCTGCTGCCTCTGTGCAGGAATTACGTGCGCAGACTCTGTGTGCAGCAGTTCCTCCCTCCCGTTCAGCTACCGCCTCCACCCCGCAGTGGGGACCAGTCTGACTCTGGCAGCGAGGGGGACATGGAAGAGCTCGTCACCGACCACTACCAACTGGGTAATCTGGTGGCTGGCCTGAGCCATCTGGAGGAGCTGGACCTAGTGTATGGAGTTAAGGACTGTGGCATGAACTTTGAGTGGAACCTCTTCCTCTTCACATACCGTGATTGCCACTCACTGGCAGCCACCATCAAGGCGTGCCACACCCTCAAGGTACCACCTGCCTGCCCGCCTGCTTCCCCGCCCCCCATCCCAGCGGTTCCCTGGTTAACCTCTCCCCTCACATTACTACTCTGTCGCCATCTTCCTCCCAGATTTCCTGCTCATTCACTGACCATAAGTCTTTTCATGCCCATGCACCAATCTGGGTTCTGGGGTTGTAGAGATGAACAAGGCCTTCCCGGTTCACCAGCCTTTTATTCAACCAACAAACATCTGCACTCCAGGCCCCGTTGGAGGTGCTGAAGACTCAACAATGAGCAAAATTATACCATTTGTGCTGTCTGAAGGGATAAAAGGCACTAATCAGCAGCTACAAACATGAACTTGCAACTGGGATAAGGTTGCCATATTTAGCAAATAAAAATACAGGACGCCCAGTTAAATTTAAATTTCAGATACATGACAAGCAACTTTTTAGTATAAGTGTGTCCCAAATATCTTTGGTGGAAGAGGGGGAGCCTGCCAGGAACTCAGAGGGAGGAAGAAAAGGGCCACACAGCGTTATATCTTGGAGCCCAGGGAGGAGGGGCATTTCAAGGAGTGAACAGAAATGGGTGGGGTGGAGCTGAGGACCGGATCTGGCACCCATGGAGGTCATTGAGGAGCTGGGTCAGTGCAAGGCCAGAAGCGGGAGCCAAATTGGAGTGGCTTGTGGATATAGTGGGGAGCACTATGATCAACTTTCTGAAGAACTTAACTATGAAGAAAGGGAAAGGTGGAACAAAAAGCACAAGGCAATGGGGAGACTATGATCAACTTTCTGAAGAACTTAACTATGAAGAAAGGGAAAGGTGGAACAAAAAGCAATGCACTTGATTTTTCTTAAAAAAAAAAAAAAAAAAGCTTGCATGTGTTTTAAGTCAATTACAAGAAAGAGGCAGAATACAGGAGAGAGACACAGGTTCAGTGACCAAAGATTGTTCTTGAGAAGGCAGAAGGGGTGGGACCCAGGACCCACATGTATCTGGCTTTGAGCAGAGGGGAGAAGGGATGTGGTGGGCAGCAGTGGGAGTGTTGTTAGAAACGTGAGGGGTCCCATTCACTGTCTGGGAAGGCAGGAGGAGACTTACCTTCTGAAAAGAGATCGTAGGGTGGTCCCCTGAGATTTTTGGAAGCTGGAGAGTTATAGTTTATGAGCAGGTGTCTTAGGCAGAGAGGAGAGTTGAACTGGCACACAAAGGAACCATCAGCCAATTCAGCCAGTTCCATCATATAATGCTGTGTCCTCCCTCTGAGTTCTTCCTCCCTCTGAGTTCCTAGCAGGCTCCCCCTCTTCCACCAAAAATATTTGGGACACACTTATACTGATATGGGCACAGACACAGAAAATGAGAGCGTGGGGTTGATCCAGGATTGGAGCTTTGCCAGACAGAAGCAATGAAATAACCGTAGGGGCCAGAGACTGTGTCAGCCGGAGGAATGTAAAGAAAGGAGAGAGCTGAAGCACAGGGAAAGCATGGAGATGCCAGACTCTCAGAGGGCTCCCAAAAAAGGGAAGAGACGACAGTGAGAAGGAAAGGAAGGGGGGGGTCCCCATCCCCAGTTCGAGTCCTATCTCCTTTCTTTCTTCCTTCATCCCATCTACTTCCTGTTTCTCCCTGTCAATATCCTTCAAAGGGTTCCTCTCCTTGTCCTGGTCAACCTAAGCCACCTGAGCAGGGTGCAGTGAGGGGCTGGGGCAGACAGGGATAAGAGACCCAGATCAGAACCCGCCTCTGCAGCTTTAGCATGGTGTGACTTGGGCAGAAGATGTAAGTACCCTAAGCCTCCGCTCCACATCTACCTATAAAGCGTACAGAACGGTCTGCCTCACCGGGATGCTCAGCCTGGAGCTGAGGATTGTGAAAGACCCTAGCAGCATGCCCAGCACATCATCTTATCTCCATCAGTGGTAGCCTTCGCCCCGCCACCATTTCTGAACCACTCTGCCATGCTAGGCAGAGCCAACCAGGTAGCCACTACCAGGTGAGCAGACTCTCAGGCCTTCCTGTGACTCTGCCAGGCACTGTACACCCTCTACCTGCCCACAGATCTTCAAGTTAACCCGAAGCAAGGTGGACGACGACAAGTCACGCATCCTAATTCGAAGTCTCCTGGACCACCCAGCCATTGAGGAGCTGGACCTGTCACACAACCTCATCGGGGACCGTGGAGCACGTGCGGCCGCCAAGCTGCTGAGCCACAGCCGCCTGCGTGTGCTCAACCTGGCCAACAACCAGGTGCGCGCATCTGGCGCACAGTCACTGGCTCACGCCCTGGCGCACAACACCAACCTCATTTCCCTCAACCTGCGCCTCAACTGCATCGAGGATGAGGGTGGCCAGGCACTCGCCCATGCCCTGCAGACCAACAAGTGCCTCACCACACTGCATCTCGGGGGCAATGAGCTATCTGAGCCCACCGCCTCCACCTTCTCCCAGGTGCTTTCCGTCAACACCACACTCACCAGCATCAACCTATCTTGCAATCACATTGGGCTGGTGAGTCACCACTTCTGTGACAGGTGGGGCTAGGGAGAGGCTCTGGGGGCTGGGGGCTGGAGATGGAGTCCTGCTGCCACAGGGTAGCTGCAGTAAAATCACAGACTTTACCAGGTTCCAATCCACCTCTGGCAGTTAGTGCTTGTCAGGTTATTTAATCTTTTCGGGGCCTCTATTTTCTCATCTGTAAAATGGGAGTAATAATAGTATCTAATAAGTATTGTAACTGGGAGGATCTGAAAGCAATGAATTGTTGCAGTTACTGGGTATGTCCTCAGAAATTGCTGGCTGTTACTATTACAAAGGGTTCTCTAGTCTATGCTAGGCATACACAACATTCACTCGCTGAATTAAAGGTGTTCCTTTAATCCTAAATTATGCAGAGAGAGATGCATATTATAAGCCCACTTAGAGATGGAAAATTGAGTTTCAGAGAAGTCAGTGAGTTCCTATGAACATCCAGTAATAGAAGGTGCCATAGCAGTGATTCAAACCCAGAACTAATGCCAAGTTTGGTCCTTTCTATTGGACAATGTCTTTCGAACTTTTGTGGTCAACTTATAGAGTAAGAAATGCAACTTACACAAATACCTAGTGATCACAACTATATCAATATAATGTAATTGAGAATTGCCTTACTGCTTCATGCTATATGCTGACATTTTCCTTTATATGCTGCTATTTTTTTTTTAGATTTATTTATTTGTGCATACAGAACTGGGGTACAGGCCAGAGGCTCAGGGGCGGCGAGAGGCTTCACCAGAGACAGAGTGGGGGGCAGAACAGGCAAATCGTCGAAGTACACTGCTGAGGGGAGCAGTGGGCAGGTCAGGAGAGGTTTGCCAAACCATGTGGTCACCTCCGGGGCAGGCAGGGATTGAACTCACACAGAAGTGGCTTTAGCTTCTCAGTGCTGTGCTTTAACCCGCTGCGCCACCAGGGAGGGCCCTACTATTTCGTTTTTTTAAGATTTATTTTACTAATTTATGCATAGAAGAACTGGGGTGTAGGCCAGAAGTAAGAGGCTTCACCAGAGACAGAGTGGGGAGCAGAAGAGGCAGACTGACTGAAATGCACTCCTGAGGGGAGTAGTGGGCAAGACAACAGTGGTCTGCCATGCTATGTGGGTCTCCTCCCTGGTTGGGATCAAACTCATGCTGCAGTGGCTTGATAGTGCTGAGACTTTAACCTCCACGCCACCAGGAAGGCCCCTGTTTCATTTTTTTAAATGCTCTGTAGCCCATCAATTTGACGTTGCTCACTCTGTTGGGTCACAACCATAGACCAGCAGCACCCTGCCCTCCAAAATAAAGTTCTTTCACATTGGGCCTGGTCCACCCCTAACCAGTAGAGGGAGGACTAGAAGGAAGACCCTCTGTGTAGGACCTGCATCCTCTACTAACCCCCCAAGAGAAATGTCCTCACTCAAACACCCAATCCCTTGGGGAAATGAAGTATGGGGACGGGAGTGCTCCTGGCTACCAAAAGCTTAGCCAGCAAGGAGATTCACTATGGCCATAACTAGAAAACCCCAGGGTACAGGGGGTCAGGGGATGGTATCCCCTACTCCGCTCACCCCAGCCACGTGCAGGGGCCTCTTGGTGTTCCCATGGTCCTGTGAGGCCACTGTGCCCAGGTAGGGCCATGCCTGGAGGCAAGCAGAGCGAGAACAACCCCCTCCCCACCTCAACACTCTTTTCAGAGTCAGGAGGGTCTTTCCAAAAGTCACCCCCTCTGAGCTTACTCCTCACACCTTAGCCAGATTTATCTCACTTACCCATGGCTGAGCCAGAGGAATGGAATGACTGTCACTGCTTAAGAGTCATGTTTGCAAACTACTGGGGTTGAAAAATCAATTGAGTTTTGAGCACCACTTTTTTTTATGGCACAGAGTAGGCTAGAACCCCAAAGAAGATGTCAGTGCGATGCACAAGTCGATTGGTCTGTGAGTCTCTATACCTAGGTATGTAGATTGTGTGTAACCCTGGGTAGTGGTAAAAGGTAAAAAAGACCTCTTCCTCTGGCCCTTCTCCCAGGATGGCGGAAAGCAGCTCTTGGACGGCATGTCAGACAACAGGACCCTCCTGCAGTTTGACCTGCGCCTATCAGACGTAGCCCAGGAGAGCGAGTACCTTATCAGCCAGGCCCTCAACGTCAACCGTGAGGCAGCACGTCAGCGGGCCTTGAATCCCAGCCACTTCATGACCAAGGATCCTGAGAACCCTGAGGGGTAGGAGGAGGACAGGGTGGGGCAATGAGTAGACCTGGGCTATGCCTCTGCCATGTCTGCCTCAGAATGTCACACTGCTGAGGGGGCCATGGTGGGAAGGAGCAGTGGGTAGGACACCATTTGAATATGACTGGGGTGAGGGATCAAGGATTGTGTGGATACAGACAGAGGGGAGGGCCTGGGAAAGGGGAAGAAGAAGTATGCTGCTGTACCCTGGCCCCACACCCCCGGAGGGGTATGACTGAAGTCTGAAATGCCCAACTTCTTCCAGAAATGGAAGGCAGACAGAACCTTGAGACTGTATCTGCCCTGACTCCCCCAGGGGCAGCCCATCCTCCCGCCTACTTAACAGTCCCTGGACCTCTTGGCCTTCAAAATCTTCCACTCTTCAATCTTTCCTTCCTCCCTCTCTCTTTCCTCTGGCTACAGCAAAGCTTCGCCTAGTTCTTCCTCCCTCAGCCCTGCAGATAGCACCTCCCTCTTGTTTGACTCTGCTTTAAGTGATCCAGTTCTAAAGGCCATGCCATCCCTTAACCAGACTTCCACCCTCCAAACCTGGGGAAAAGAAAACAGATGACAAGGGGCGCTTAGACCCAGTGGCCGCCCCATAGAGTCGCTCAGGGGAGGCAGAGATGGTGGGGAAGTGCCACACTGGGAAAGGAAGTCAGTGAGTCGTTGCAACTTTATTATCCACCAGTTTGATTTGTACAATCTTTGCGCTTGAAAATTCACAACAGAAAGGCCACAGTGTGATGCACCCAATTGACACAGACCTGTCTTCTCCCCAGGCAGGCCCAGCTCACCCCACAAGCCCTTGTCCCCAGGACACACACAATCTCAGAGGCACCCTCCATGAGTCTCCATCACTCAGTGGCTGCCCAGCCCTAGGGCCACACCCACAGGAATTACATCAACCCTTGGAAGCCAAGAGAGGACCTGACTGATGGGCACAGGCTGAGCCCCAGCCCACAGCCCCCTCAGACCAAGGCACCCAGAACCTCCCCACTCTTTTTCCCAAAGGATGGGTAGTGGTTCGCACCCACAGCCTCAGGGTACCTGCTCTCTAGAGACTCCTCCTAACCAGCAAGAGCTGAACAGAGCACCAAAGGGAGCTTGGGAGTGACTGCACGTGAGTGCCTGTCCGGGCCACCTACAGTCTGTCCGTGCCTGACACCCTCTGACAGTTCTGGAGTGCAAATGTGTAGGTGTGAGTGTGTGTGTGTGTGTGTGTGTACATAGCCACAGCTGCTAGCAGAGGTTCTAATTAGAGAAACAAGAACATTCAGTGTAAAGTTTAATTTTAGAGATTAATTAATTTTCTGGTTTTCGTTTTCCCTGGCAATCAGTAAAGCTACCAAGAAAATAGACCAAAGAATCGGTTTCTCTCTAAGTCTGTACGTGTGGGAGGTGAGGCTGTCTGTGTGAGAAGACCTAGACAGAGATGGTCAAAACAGGCAAAAATAATAGGAGCCCCCCCACTTCCTCCCTTCCCACCTCGGGTTTTGTCTCAGGAACAGGCCCGAGGGAGGAAGAGCTGAGTTCCTCCCTCCTCCAGGCTGCCCCCACACGAGGACATAACATCCAGGTGCCAGTTGGCCAAGAACTGGGGCCTGAGGCCACAGCTCACCACCTGTGCCTCACAGATGTCCATTCAGAGGAAAGACGGGTGCTCTAACCGCCAGGCTCCCAAGGAGCACAGACTCAGGGTCTAGATGGATTCCGTGCTGGCAGCAGGTGGGCACTGCTACCCAGGGGAACTGAGCGGGCCACTGTTCCCTCCTGCCAAGCCGCCTCTTCTCCAGCCTCCTCTCCCTTCCCACTCAGCCATCTCCACTTGAAAGTAAAGCTCAGTATCTGAAGGGCTGAGGGCCAGGCTGGGTGTCCCCACAATCTGTGCCTCCCACTTTCCCCAGGAAGGAAGGAAGAGGAGCCAGAGATGTTGCATAGGGTGGAGGCCACACCCATGGTGGGCACAGGCCTGGCTAGGCTGAAGAGGAGGGAGGAGTGGCTCTGATGGCCCGGTGAAGTGAGAAGCATCGGGGATGAGTAATGTTGATGGCTCAAAATTTATCCTCTCCAGCTTGAAATGTAAGCTTAATCCCTGGGCGCTAAACCAGCTGGGAAAACTTTAGCCAGAGGAGTTTGGAGGGCAGGAGGTTGTACACAGACATGCACACTGAAGCACACGGGGATGGGGCAGTGGGCGTGGGGGAGCTTTGGGGAAACAGGAAGTGGGGTCAGCACCCCAGGATGGTGCCAGGATGCCCCTTCCAAGACCCTGAGACACACAGCAGAGCTCAGGGATAGAGGACAGAGGGGTTGGGCAAGATTTAGAGAATTCCTGCCTCTGTACTGCCACTGAAAGAGAGGATTTCTCCAACTGGGGCTGTGACATCCTCAGCCCTGTGGAGGAATGTGTGGAGACGACCACCTTCCATTCCTACCCACCAGTCTTGGGGCACCAAGGCGCACCCCCACCTCTAATGGCCCTTTCATTCTACTCTCCGTCCTCTCTCCTCTCCGTCCTCTCTCCTCTCCCACCTGCTTCCATGGCTCCTGTTGCCTTCCAGGTCTGTCTCCCTGCTCTCCCCAATTACTCACTCGCCTTGGCCACCTTTCAGGGTGTCAGGGAGTGCCCTCTCAGAAGGGCACCGTCACCATCCTGGGGTGCTGACCCCACCTCCTCCAGGGGAGGAGGCTGAGTTTAGGGAAAGGACTGAGATGCCCCACCCACTGCATGTGCCTCCTCTCTCTGCGCTGGCCACAGTTACTCAGAGCCAGGGATAGAGTGGGAGGGACATTTGTGTGGCAAGCACAGTCCCCAAAGGACCAGGACTCCTGGGGGCCCAGAGAGACAAACAACAGTGGAGGGAGGGGCAGAAAGGAAACCCCGATCTTTGGGGCCAGCGCCAAGAAGAGGATAGCAACATTTCCACGTTTTGAGATGGCTATTGGGGCTACACCTGGCCCCTACCTCGGACCCACTGAATTCATTAGCTGGCCGGATGCAGCCCTGAAGCCCGCCAAACCACCACCCCCTCAATAGAGAGAGGCCCCGTAGGGCAAGGCATGGGAGGAAGGAAAGCCCCAGTTTCACTTCCCCACAGCCTCTAAACCTCCCCAGCTGCACAGCGAGGGCCTCTAACTGGAGATAAGGCCCAAGCGGGTCCCACAGCACAGTTGCCACATAACAGTCAGAAGATCCAGAAGGCTGGACGGAAATCTCGAATGTGCGTGTAAGAAGGGGAGATACCCCTTAGGGATTCAGGAACCGGGACGGGACTGAAAGAGACAAGTCTGCGGGGGGGGGGGGGGTCCTCCGGAACCCCACCCCCTCCTACCATCTGTCCCTTTATGTACAGGGAAGGTGGGGTCTCTGCCCCAGGGGTCTGTCCCTCACACATCGCCTGCCCCCTTCCACCCGACCCCCACCGTGCCCACCCAGCTTCAGTCACCTTCGTGACTGCCCCTGCTACACGCAGGGAGCTCAGTCAGCGAGGGGCAGGCAGGAGGACGGCGGGCCTGACCTGTCCAGGGGCCGGAGGTCACAGTGAGGTTTCTACGCAGGAGCCATGGCGGTGCAGTGGCCGGTGGCTGTGGCCCAGACACCCCTCCTGCCGGTGCACGATGAGGACAGGGAAGTAGAGGGCGTCGTGGTAGGGTGGCGGCGGCCCGGCCTCCTCCTCGTCGTCGTCGTCCTCCTCGTCGTCCCCCATGCTGGCCTGGCTGGACAGCCGCGTCTGCTCCGTGGGGCAGCTCGCCTCGTTGATGCTCCCGCTCCGGCTGCGCCAGAGACAGCTGCGTCGGGAGCCGT